CTTTCCCTCTCCCTCCGCCTCCCTCCTTCCCTCTCCCTCCCTCCATCTCCCTCCCTCTTCCCTAATTATCTACCATCAACAAATGTGTCATGACGTGGTGGGATCAGGCGCTCGTCACTTTTTGGGCATGTGGAGTTATTGGTATCATCTGAAAACCGATTTATTTGTCTTGCTTCCAAGGAAATAAATGTCCATTTATCTTGACAAGAATTCTAAATAGATCTAGTAGGGATTGAAGGAAGGGAGGTCGCCTGGTCTCAGTGGTGAAATTAAGGAGAGAATGGCGAAAAATTTTGGTGACTCTAATAACTGAAGAGTCTTTGAAAACTGGAAAATTACATATTGTGTGCCTTTAATCAATGGTGTTCAGTAAAAAAAGAAAATTCACACTGAAATTCGTATTTGTATATGGACCTAAAACAGGTTAAGCCAACAAATTAAAACTCGATTTAAAAAATGCCTGTTTCTCCGATTTCGTTATTTTGACGAGCGCCTGATTTCACTACGCTGCCTCACAAATCGTTCTCTCCAACAACAACACCACAGAAGCACACAACCCCACTCCCCTCTCTCCTCCTTCTGTCTATCACTTTTCCTTTCGCTCCCTCCCGCCCCTCCCCTGGAAAAATTTGTTCCGTGTAAAGAACCCAGCGCGGTTTCGTCTTTTGCATACACCACTCTCAGCTCGCGAGCGTCCATGGCAACGGCGCCATCTTTGTGTGTGGCAAGCTTCCTTGTCCGCTTGGTCTTGGTTCTTGCTTGGAGCTTGGATTTCCTCTGTGTGCTGGGGCTGGAGACACGGGGCACACCCAGCGATACAGGTCGGAGGAGGTAAGGGTGGTAGGATTTCATCTGGAAATAAAATGTGAGTTCATCTTGGTGAAATCAGGCGCTCGTCAAATAAATATTAAAATCCGAGAAATCAGCATTTTTTGGCCAGTTTGGACACATTTTAGAATTATTGTTTTTTGACTCAATATCTCGTATGTCCGTTCAAAAACACTTTTACTTGTTGATTTTATGGAAAAACGTTGATTAGGGGCACACAAAATGTTTAAGTTTGCAGTTTCCAAAGTCTCTTGAAGCTATGGAAGTCACAAAACTTTGGCGGCTATTTTCTCGCAAATTTTTATTCTGAAACGAGGCCTCCTCACCTCCTTCAATTGCAAAAATCACGACTTTTATTCCAGATAAATGGACGTTTATTTCCTCGAAAGCAGGGGAGAAAAGAATAACCTTTAAGGTAAAACCAGTAACTCCATATGCACGAAAATTGACGAGCGCCTGATTCCACTACGTCATGACACAAATAATAATAATAATAATAGAAAGCATTCGTGTAGCGCAAATCCCCACTCAACAGCAAGCTCTATGCGCTTCGCAATCTATACTATTACCCCAGCAGACCTGAGAGGATTCTGAAACAACCTCAACTTTCCAGGAAGCATACAGTGCAAGCAGCCATTTATAGGCGCTAAACCACTAACAATTAAAATACTGACAAGATCTTTCGCTGTCTACGAAATAAAATACAGAGGCAACAACTCCTGTCTGCTCGCTCATCCCTGTGGCTTGTTGGAGGCTGTCACTAGTACCTCCTACGTCTTTCTTTTATATTTTTAAAAATTATACTCTGTTGCTTCTATGTATGTGTGTGTTTGTGTGTGTGTGTGTGTGTGTGTGTGTGCGTGTGTGTGTGTGTGTGTGTGTGTGTGTGT